AAACATCAAAAAAAAAAAATTTCTAAACCTATATGTCAATTTATTACACGCCATGCCTTCATTAGTCGTCACCACCAAACTCTTTTGTTAGCTGTTCGATCTTATTTTCTTGATTTTACATGTTTATAAATAAATATTTTTTGTGAATCAAATTTATTGATCGCGTTTAATTTTGAAAAATCATATATAATATCCACTAAAAAATTTATTGTAATATTTAGATTTTGATAAAAATTTCATTATGCCTCTAAAAAAATACAGTGAACAATAACAAATATTCAAAACTTATGAGATTTAAGTCTTATTATTCTTTACTATATCTCTCAACTCCTATTTTTTACAAAAAGTTATTAAATAATTTAAATTAATTTTAAATATTTTATATGTAAAATGGAAATGAAAATAAAATTAGCAATAAAGAGATCAAATTTTTAATATTTTCTATATTTTTTTAAGAAATGTGAAATTTCTTATATATGTTTAATAGTTAACATATAACTATATATTAAAATTAAATAATATGTTGACCCTTGGTTTGCTAGTGGTTGACCCAATAACCCAGTGACTCGGCAAAATGTCATGTTCAGTGTTGGAGTCGGATTTAAAAACATTGGAAAATTCTCATTAACCACATTTTTTATTGGAGGATTTTTGCAAATTTGACTCAAAACTCAAAGTCAAACACAAAACTAACCTTTCTTGTTTTTTGATTTTTCGTTTGTCTTATTCACCCCATCTGTTCACATTATTTACGAAAAATGCCATTACACTTTTTTCTTTTCTTTTTTTTTGAAAATTATTTTTTTACTCTCTCAACCTCATCATCTTCAAGTATTTACAAGATTGACATTGCCATCAATACCCTAACTACCATGAACAACCAATTTGAAGCTCTTAATGCATCAAAAATCGATTTACACTCTCTCTTTCTCAATTGTTATGAACTAAAAACAAAATCTCTTTCACTTTGTCTCCATATTCATACAAAAAACCCAAGCTTTTGATTCAAAATTTTTTATGGTTGATAGAGCCATTTAAGCATACAATTCTTGGTGGGTTACTTTCATTTGATATTCTGGGTGGTTGGAGAAGACTTTGTGTGCTAAGAAAGTCATCTCACTTAGTTTAAGGTATGAAATTGAATTTTTTTCCAGNACTTTCATTTGATATTCTGGGTGGTTGGAGAAGACTTTGTGTGCTAAGAAAGTCATCTCACTTAGTTTAAGGTATGAAATTGAATTTTTTTCCAGATCTGTTCGCGTAGAAGACTTACTTGTAAGTCTTCTGGATGAGCTGGACGACTTACTTCTAAGTCGTCCAGCTGGACGACTTACTTCTAAGTCTTCCAGCTTTGCATGTTAAAAAAAAAAATCTGGACGACTTATAAATAAGTTGTCTAGGAAAAACAGGCTAATTTTGCATTTGACCGAATTATGTCAGATATTTGACTTTTCCTGGACGACTTATTAGTAAGTCGTCTCCGGGAAAGTTAAAATTTCAATATTTTATTAAATCTAGACGACTTACAGATAAGTCGTCTTAGGTTAGTTTTGTAATTGAAAAAAAAAACTTTAATTTTAATTTTTTTTCCAGAAGACTTAATTTAAAGTCGTCCAGTCAGACAACTTATTTTAAAGTCGTCCAGTCAGACGACTTATTCTAAAGTCGTCTGAGATAAGTAAAGTCGTCCAGATTTTTTTCCGGTCAAACTTTGCTTATCTCAGACGACTTTGGAATAAGTCATCTGAGTGGACGACTTTAAATTAAGTCTTCTGGGAAAAGTTAAAATTAAAGTTTTATTTAATAAAATATTGAAATTTTAACTTTCCCGGAGACGACTTGCTGGTAAGTCGTCCAAGAAAAGTCAAATATCTGACATAATTCGGTCAAATGCAAAATTAGCCCGTTTTTCCTAGACGACTTATTTATAAGTCGTCCAGATTTTTTTTTTAACATACAAAGCTGGACGACTTAGAAGTAAGTCGTCTCATTTAAATTTCAATTGCAAAAATGACCTATCTGGAAGACTTACAGTTAAGTCTTCCAGCTGGATGACTTTCCAGACGACTTAATTATTAGTCTTCTACTAAGTCGTCCAGACTTTATGAGTATGTATTAAGAATTTGTGTTAGTCTTCTTAGATGACTAATAATTAAGTCATCTGGAAATTCTTCCAGCTAGATGACTTTCCAGAAGACTTAATTATAAGTCTTCTACTAAGTCGTCCGGACTTTATGAGTATGTATTAAGAATTTGTGTTAGTCTTCCCAGATGACTAATAATTAAGTCATCTGGAAAGTCTTATAGCTGGATGTTTGATCTTCTNTAAGAATTTGTGTTAGTCTTCCCAGATGACTAATAATTAAGTCATCTGGAAAGTCTTATAGCTGGATGTTTGATCTTCTTTGAATTTTACTAAGTTTTCTTGGTTGAATAGAGTGATAAAAATATTTGATCAAATCCCGTAATGTTTGATCTTTTGTGAATTTTACTAAATTTTCTTGGTTGAATAAAGTGGTAAAAATTTTTTCTCCTTTAATTTTACTAAATTTGACTAAGTTTTTCAACACAACCTTGTAAAACATGTAATATGCTTTAACACCAATGATGATTTGTTGGAAGAAAGGTTAAAATGCTTCTTAAAATGTTGTATCAATACGAGGCTACAAACATTCTTGTTTATTAAGATGAGTAGAAGGCCATTGTGATTTATTATTGCATATGAGAGATCCAAAATATGAAAAAGCTACTGAAGTCTATTATTTCATTGATTTGTACATGTGTAAACACATTGTTAGCACATATATTACATCTTGGGATTGATTTTACAAAACTATAATAGATCATCCCTTTACAAAGACAAGCTTGGACTCCACTTGATATGAAAGAAGACAGCGTCAGAAAACTTTCAGAAAGTCCAGTTAAGTAAGTCGTTCCAGAAGTCTTTCGAGAAGACTTACAAGTAAGTCGTCCAGAAGACTTACAAGTAAGTCGTCCAGAAGACTTATAACTAAGTCGTCCAGAAAACTTCCAAATCTGAAAAACCTGCATTTCAAACCCAGATTTGAAAAATCTGCATATCAAAAAACATTCAAATGGCTTAAACACACAGAAAATGAGTGAAAGATTAGATATATATATACTTTTTTAGAAAACATAACATACATCCAAATGAAGATGAGAACCATCTGATTAAAAACCTGCAAAAAAAAACGATAGATTAGTGAGAAAAACATGAGACATAACTGAAAAATTCATATAAAGTTAATAGATCCATCTTTAAATGAGTGGAATATGAGAATCATGTGATGAAAAACCTACAAAATAAGATAAGTTAATGAGAAATACTTGAGACAAAAACAATAAATTGATAAAACGTTTGGTGTTTATAAGTTCAAAGAGATTACAGAGAGATTGGAGAGTTCTAGAAAGATGAACATTACATTTTTTGTTGCAGACATTTGAGAGGAGGAGAGAGAATGTGTAAATTTTTCTTTATATAGGGAAACAAAAAAAAAATTAGGTTAAATATTTTTGTTTCAGATGACTGAAATGTAAGTTGTCCAGGAGACTTTAATAATTTTAGCGGGAAACTAAAATATTTTTAGCGGGAAACTAAAATAGAAGAATTTTGAGAAGACTTTAAGACTTAGAAGTAAGTCGTCCAGAAGACTTACAAGTAAGTCGTCCAGAAGACTTGCAAGTAAGTCGTCTAGGAGACTTACAAATAAGTCGTCCAGAAGACTTACAAGTAAGTCGTCCAGAAGACTTACAAGTAAGTCGTCCAGAAGACTTAGAAATAAGTCGTCCAGAAGACTTATAACTAAGTCGTCCAGAAGACTTATAAATAAGTCGTCCAGAAGACTTACAAGTAAGTTGCCTGGTTTAAATTATTCAAGCGGGAAAATAAAATTTTTAAAAATTTTAGGCGGGAATATTAGTACGACTTACTTGTAAGTCGTCTGTGTAAAATTATTTACCAGACGACTGATATTTCAGTTGTCCAGACCCTAAACCCTAAACCCTAAACTAATTGACTAAATTAATTAATTAACCACGTTATAAAATCAAATTATACTTAAATAGTGTTTACTATACACAGAATAAACACACTTAGGTAAATTTTTAATTTTTCAAAAAAACATTTATGCTTTCGAAAATCTAACCCTAAGAAACACATACAATACTACAACATATATTGGTGAAACCTAAACTAAAGAATATCATGACTCACTACTTTCACTCANTTCACTCATCTATGCTGAAAACAACTAACTTTTGTTATATCTTAATTTATATCTCTTAAGACATATGTTAATTACATAATCCCAATTTTTCATTTATCAAGATATTTATTACAGAATTTTTAAATTATTTTTAAGAAAAACTGTCCCAGACGACTTTAAGTTAAGTCGTCTGGACGACTTTAAGTTAAGTCGTCTGGACAGACGACTTACGAGGGCTAGAAACGTAAAAAAAATATCATTTTTTTGTTTGTTCACAAGGGATTGGTTGTAATTTCAATAGCCTTTTAAGTTACTTTTGCATTTGATTCAAGTTTGGGTTTACTTTTGCATTTCAAATCAAGTTTTGAGTCATATTTGACAATTTTCCTTTTATTGGTTATCAAAACTACCAAAATCACAAAATCGTTTCCCACCAAAATTGCTAAATTGATTTTGCACCAAAACCACCAAATTAGTTTTCTGTCAAATTCGCAAATCATATTTCAAGTCAAAACCACAAAGTGAAATAATTCTACCAAAATAGGAAATCACGTTCTTCTGCCAAAAACATAAATTCACGTTTTCTCAGAAATAAAAAAGCCAGAAACATCCTTAATAAAGCATGTTTTGAATGGTGATTATTTTGGAGCTCTTGAGGACCAAAATGTGAAGCACAAATTTCTTATAGAAGTTCCTTGGAAATACTCGAACCAATATTGGACTTAATAAGTGACTAATTAACTAACCAATGCAACGTAGCATAAATTCAGTAATATTTATTACAACCGGAGCATGACATCAAGACTACTTTTTTCCAAGCATCATACAAATTTCGGAACAAAATATTAATCCCTTGCACTGGAGAACTATTTTATGTGGACATCGTTTCTCACATTTGGAGCAAATAGGTCGAGACATATGCTGATTGTTGGGTAGAACACTTACCTCTCTACCATATAAGATCCACACTGAACCAGGCTTCATGTAGAAATCCTTTCCAATCAAACAGTCAATGTGTAGGGTAACGCAACAATACTCATCACACATATAAAATCGTTTCTCCGGATTTATTTTTCTCTCGCAAGCTTCTCACCAATACGTTATGGTACTTCCCTCCTTTCCATAAGAAAGAGTGAGCATATGGTTATCATGCTTATACCTCACCGTATGAGGTAAAGTAGCACATCTGAAACACAAAGAAAACTCGCACTCGATGCAGTTGAATGTTTTGTCTGTGCGTTCAAATTTGCAAACACAGCACCACTTTTTCTCTCCTGGTTTGGATGTTAGGAATAAAGGATGCATGTGACTTTCATGGACTAATGGCTCAGAAATTGTGGCACACTGCACGTCTAGCTGGAACTGGCATCCTTCTTTGCTGCACTGATAAGAGAAACCAGCTCTGCACGACCATTTACAAATTGAACATCTATTGTCATCTTCTATAACACCGTCATATCCTCCAACTAGTTTGAGAAGATGCGGATGTATCGGGTGATGTAGTTTGCAAGGAAAATTTGCACAAGCTTCGTGGAGAATATAATCGCATTGCATACAAGAGTAAAAGTTACCGAGATAGATTGGCGTGACGCATGCTTGACACTGCCTATTCTCGTCGAAACCTATACATGTGCTCTCATTAAGGCTCAAATGATGTTGTTGATGACTGAAGTGTTGTATGATTCCGTCGCTTATCCTCACAAACGGCTCAACTTCTTCTTCTATTTCTTCTGGCTTTCCTTCAAGCTCTATACCATCCCACACATTGCTCTGTGTGGCGCATTTAGAATGAGCAGCAAACGAACAACCGTCCTCGATGCAAAAATACCCTCCATAGTCTCTGTCGATCTTTCTTCGACAAACACCACAAAACAACTCACCTTGGTCAAAAGAAAGGGTGAAAGAGACACGATGGGGATGGCGAGATATCCTTATGACTCTAGGTAAATTGATACAACTTTTATGGACCACAAAGTCACAAGGGGGACATATATAGAATGGACAGCTTGAATGTGTTAAGGCACATAGGTTGCAAGGAAAGGAAGCCAAACTTGGAAACAGAGCAAGTGTATGCTCATGCCACTTCGGATGGTCTACAGATAAGACCGGTGGTTTGTCGAGACAAGCAAAATGAATAGCAATATCGCAAGCTGAGCAATAATAAAGTATCCCTTTGAGAGCTTTATCACAACAATAACATTCCCTTGTTTCACTATAGGGTTGTAAAAAAACAAGCTGAAGAGCATGCCTTGGATGGAGAGAGTGTTTGATTTCAGCTGGAGCCTTTTCATAGTCATGATGGTTCTTTCCTTTACAACCGCGGCAGAGAAAGTGGGTATCTTCTTCTCCTGTTAAGCTTAACATTTCCCAGTTCCAAGGGAGACACTCCCACTTATTGTTCCTTCTCCTTGACATGGTTTCTTGAGTGACACGAAATTTACCTTCTTCCATATTTACTTCTACTTGAGAGCAAAAGGAAATAAGCTTCTCCCACTTTGAATTCATAGAGATGACGAGGGATAATATTTGATTGACGAGTGATATTATCTCCGGCGGCTCCGGCTCTAGACTCAATGTTTCAGCAACCAGTGCGATGAACTCCGGATCCCGGGAAGGGAATAGCTGTGATACCGATTCAAAGATGTATTGGAAACCGAGAGCAGATGTAAAACCCAGTGTTAATTGCTTCAACACCAAGGCTTCAATACTGGACTCTGAAACTGAATCTAAAGAGGAGTTTATGGTAGAGAATACTTGGGATGTGAGTGACTTCACAAATGTGTCATCCCGCTCTTTCTTTCGCTGGGAATCCAGATCCTTAGACTTCACGAGAGAGGAAATGCGTGATATGAGATCTGAAAGCGGCTTTGGCTGGGAATCCAAATTCATAGAGTTGAAGAGAGAGACTGTTTGAGTAATGAGTGACATGAGCTTCGACTCCGGCTTGGGATGAGAATCCAAATCCATTGATCTAACGAGAGAGATAACTTGAAAAAGATGTGATGGGACCATAGAGTTGTCGAGAGAGATTAGTTGAGAAAGGAGTAATATGAGCTTCGACTCTGAATCCCAATCCATAGTGTTTGTTGGTGACAGAGATTGTCTTAAAAACGAGTGATATGAGAGATTTTTGAGTATGAATGGTAATAACTAGTAGCACCCTGTATGGCCAGAGGCTGTGTCTAAATAAGTTCAAAAGTTTGAAATTTAGTTTTTCGTGCAGGGTCCTAGCTACGAGAGAACAGACAGTCAGAACATTCATGCTTTTAAGAAAGTGTCACGTGGTGTGGACGACAAAAAGACTTGTTCCTTTTGTTTTGTTGTAAGGTTGTTTTCTTTTCAAACTTGTTACATCTTATTCCTAACGGTCGAATCCTCAGTTATATCATAAAATAATTTTTATTTGTATTACAAATGATGTTCATTTACCTTCAACATATTTGATAATAAAGAACAACCTCATAGAAAACAATATCACGACGTAGTTTACTCTGTAACATTCTAATCAATAGCTCCATGGAGGATATCTTCAATAGAAAAGCTGTGACACCCATCACTTTGAAACCAATAATAATAAATAATAATACAATAATAAATAATATCTTTATTAAAAATATTGAAAAGTCAAAGTTCACGTCGAAAAATCAAGTAATTAAAATAATTTCTGAAATATCGATAATAACATAAATGATAAAGTTTCAATAGCGGGAAGACCCATTAGCGATAAAAGCCCAAAAGTATAAACTTGTGAAATCCGAAAGATACAAGACGTGAAAGCCCAATAACCCAATAGCACCGGTCCGATAGAATCATCCCTGCTCATCGGTCTCACCTGAAAGGGGGGAAAGAAAGGAGGGGGTGAGCAACAGGGGAGTCGCTCAGTGATGTATGGGATGCTAAACCTCAAATCACTGACTCAGTACATAGCACTACGACTATGTAGGCCTAGCTCTAGCATGAAGCAAACACGGTGATAGAACACCACACAGAACACACAATGCAAATCTAGAACTAATACTACTACACCAGTCAACTATCAACTACCACCCATGCGCTCATAGTACATAGCTATCCTCTGCACCGCGCATCTGTCTCTGTACCCCCGCACTCCCACCCGATGCGTCGCTAGTACAAACGTCTTTGTACCCCCGCACAAACCCGCGGCGTCGCTGGTACCTCACTGTACCCCCGCCCAATACCCGCTGCGGCGCTAGCTCAGACGTCTCTGGCCCCCCGCACAAAACCCGCGGTGTCGCTAGTCCAGACATCTCTGAACCCCCGCCCTCATCACATAGTCCCTACTATGTAACTATATATATATACATATATATAGCAATGCTCAGCGTCAATCATTTCACACAATCGTTGAATCCTCTATTATCCTAGTTCCATTTTAACAATCAAAAATAAAAATAAACAAGCAAGACTGTTGGGGTCAAAATCGGTACGACGGAATCAATAGCCAAAATTCCCCGCAAACGCGTAAACGCAGCAGTTTTATAAAACTCGAGAGATCATTTTATAAAACTCGAGTGATCGTTTTATAAAACTCGAGAGATCGTTTTATAAAACTCGAGAGATCGTTTTATAAAACTCGAGAGATCGTTTTATAAAACTCGAGAGATCATCGTTTTATAAGAACTCGAAGATCGTTTTATAAAACTCGAGAGATCGTTTTATAAGAACTCGAAGATCGTTTTATAAAACTCGAGAGATCGTTTTATAAAACTCGAGAGATCGTTTTATAAAACTCGAGAGATCGTTTTATAAAACTCGAGAGATCGTTTTATAAAA